CACAAAAAAAAAAAAAAAAAAATCCAGAGAGATGCTATAAAAGGTAATGGTCAAAAATAAAAACAATTTACCTTGTAAATTTATATCGATATTATTATCAGTTAATAAATATTTAACAATATCATAACAATCCAAAGAACTAGCAATCATCAAAGCATTCTTATTATCTCCTTCTTTTTCACTTAAAGGTTTATTTACATCAAAATTGACAATATCAGTTAATATTGCAGTTAATTCTTTAACATCATTTTGTATTATTACATCGTAAATTGTTCTTCGAATATCTTCATCTGTTGTCGAAGGAACTACTGTAGAAGAGACTGACTCTGCTGTTGTTATCTCGTCTGTTTGCATAGTTACGATGATGATACGATGATTATAATGATGACGATGCGGATATGAATTTAATGTGTATGTATGTATTTAAAGGAAAGAAAAAAAAAATGGAGTTTTTATTGATTTATTGATTTATTTATTTATTTTTTTTTTTTATCACGAGGAAATAATTATTTTTTTTAGAAAAAAAAACCTCATATTTATATTTTCACTAACGTAAATTATAATTTATTAAATATTTAGATTTACATTTTAATCGATCGTATACGGATTCTTTTTAAAGATTATAACTTTAACCATTGGTTATTACTAGTGATCTCTTACTAAAGAGATTACATAAATTACACAATTATTACTGGAATTTTATAGGTTGATATTACGACGATTAACTAATCTTTTAAATGATCATCAAGAAAATTTTTCATGGATCAAATGAAAATTTACCATAAATGGTAGTTATTGCCGGTCTAACCAAACTGCCGAGAGAAGACGAAAGAAAAGAAATTAAAATATATTAAACATAATAGGAGATACCCCCGGATTGTTTCGTTTCATGTCAATCACGTCGACTGATACACTTTTTTTACTTTACAAAAAAAAATTTTTCAGTTTTTTTTTTTAATAATAAATAAAAATGTGGGTTTATTCAAAAGAAAATGCTAACCAATTAAGTGTTGTTTATTGTTTTTTTATCTGATTCTTCAAAGATAAAATTTGGGTTCTTACGTTATGATAAAAAAAAAAAACACACAAAAAAAAAAAAAAAAAAAAAAAAAAAAAAAAAAAAAATAAAATAAAATAAGTTTTTTTTTTTTGCGTTCGAAATTTTTTTGAAACGCATCAAATAAATAATGTAATATACGTTTAGAACATTTCTTTTAATTATAAGATGATGTAATGTTTTAGAACATTTATTTTAATTTACAATATTTAAAATAGAAACATTTAGAATTATTTAGAAATTATTAATGTATTTATATGTACATATGTATACATACATACATACATATACATATATTTTTTCATCTTTTTTTCTTTCAAATCAATGAGAACAATTATTATTATTTAAAAGAAAAAAAAAATACATTTATAATCGGCATCGGTAATAATGTTTCTAGTGATTTAATTCGATCATAATAAATTTTAATAATAAGTAAAGTAATATATTTAATATATTTGGTTTAGATTTTAGATAAAAGATTAGATTGTTACTGTTACTATTAAAATTATAAAAAAAAATTATTACATTTTCGTATAAATCTTTATTATTATTATTTACTAATATGTAATTAATTTTAACATTAAACTTTTTTTTTTTTTTTTTTTTTCGTTTTTTTTTCTCTTCGTATTTTAGAATTCTAGACCTTTGAAGTAATTTGCGTTCGTGGTTAATTAATTGGTTAATACTCTTTTAAGGGTCAAAGAAGATTCACAGAGCGCATGATGTTAAAAAATGTGTATTGGCGTTGGTATTATAATTCAGGCGTTTACTGGAAAACACTCGGGATGTTGAAAAATACTTGGGAAATAAGGTGGTACGATTACATCATCTTTATTTGGCTGACCCGAGAGGGGGTGAGTAAAAAAGTAATTTCCCGGTTATTTTATCTTCTGACTAATACCTAATTAAGAGCGGTGTAATTTAATCGCCGGTTGCACCCTTATTAATAATAGTTTTAAAGTTATTGTGAAAGAATAAGAAACGTTACAATTTCATAATATCCATAATAATAGAGTATTCGCGTTAATATTGAAATCGTTATCTAAAAAAAGTCATGAAAAATGCGATCAAATTAATTTAATGATCATCGGAATAGTCATTTAAGGCAAATTCTGGAACTTTTGTTACTATACATTGGTGCGATAAATAATTAAAATTGTGAATTCAAACTTTAATATTCAAAAATAGTTTGTTTCACTTGTTCACCCTTTTTAAAATAAATTTACCCAATTGGATAATGCAAATGCAATCCTATTATTGATAATTTGATTACTGGATTTGTGAATGCTAAGCTGGTGCATAAATTCACCAATTATAATCATGATACTGTATATGAATATATGCATTGTATATATATTATTTTATTGATGTGATTAATAATATGATAAAAGATAACAAACAAATATATAATTTTTTTTTTTTTTTTTAAAGTTTATTACGAAAATGGGAATTTGTTTTTAAATGTGGCAATGCATCTTTCTAAAAAAAAAAAAAACTAAAAATTATTTTATATGGAATTTGTAGATATCCAAAGTTTATTATTAATAATTAATACCTTTAGGGGAATAAAAATACGCTGAAACCAATGACGTCATAATTCATATTAATGTATCGAATTCGCCAAGAAAAATTGATCTTTGGCCCCTAATGTTTCTCACCATTTCTTATAAAATAATATTCATATTTCCACTAAAAATACGTTTAATTATAAATAAGATCCACATTATCGTTAAATCTGAACAGAGCTTCTTTTAATATTTCGCGGTCACTTTTATTATTATTATTAAAATGTAATTTTATAAATGTAATGTTTTATAAATAATCATGCAAATAATGTTTTACAAATAAATATTACAAGCCTCAAATTTTCGGAAAAATATATGTCGAGAAATCACGATCATTTTATTAAGTATGGGCTTCAAAACAGGAAAAAATTGAAAGTTCGTGTTGCCATGCTACGTTGTTGAAATCGAATGTTTTAGCATAATATATGTTAATAGTAATTAAATATTTAAAAAGTTTATCGTTAAATCTCATATTATTGTATGACAGTTTATTTATAGCATTAAACGTTAGTTCGATGAAAAACTATTTGTTAAATTTTAAAAAGATCGATCAATCGATCAATATATTACAATTATTTATATAACAGAAATGCTGTTACACGATTCTCTACATTTAGAAAACTACAATATCTACGGTAACTAATAGTATTCTTTTGTCTTTACCAACAACATTGGGTTTACGCCCATCAATGTAACAAAACTTTAGAAAGCCAGATCTGTCCTTGGCCCTTACATACTTTCCTTGGCACTTAAATACTTATAATATTCTTTTATTTACCGTGATTTTCAAATAAAATCTCACGTAAAATTAGTTAAAGCTCTTTACTGGTTAAATCGCACGTAAAGGAACTTCTTTTACATGATTTCTAATAATATCACACCAAAAAAACTATTATTTTCTAAGGAACCTTTAGTCCTTTACATGATTTCTAATAAAATCACGCCAAAAACTAATAAATTAAATCACACATAAGATAGATTCTTTAATGAAATCACAAATCATACCAAATTTGTTCAGGGTTTTAATATTAAAAAAGGCTAATAAAAAAAAGGCTGATATTTCATTAGTCCTAACCGCATACAAGAACTATGTTAAAAGATCGTATGATCGACATTGTCAATTGTACAGATCAAAACCCGATAAGTGTTGAAAGTAAAGCTATGCATTGAATTTTTCGAGTCATAGATAAAGTCTTTATCCATGACACATAAAACTCAACCAAATATAATCTTCTTTGCAAATATTGATGCTTTTTTGTTTATCTCTTGTCTTTAAATTTTATCCGTGTTAGCAATCAATAACTATCTACTATACATATATTCGCTCACTTCCAACATCAAAAGTTATTCCATCCAAACACGTGACGTACTGTTAACACTATCGTAATTGTGATTTATTAAATATTTGGATTTGCTGTACATCTCAATGATCGTATACGAAAAAAACTCTGTTTTTCGAACAATTTTGCAAAACCATTAATTTTACTGGTTGAGACTAGGATGATTAATTAATTTTTTTTTAAAAAAAAATTTCTCATGGATTAAACATAATTGGATCCTCCGGCTTCGCTTCATGTCGATCACGATGATCGATGTTACACGTTTTTTTTTTTTTTTGGTAGATAAAAATTTAGGTTTTGTTCAAAGAAAAAAAGAAAAATCCTTTAAAGATAAAATCAGATAAAATCAGTGACCTACAAAATTTTTTTAGAAATTTGGCAGAGTACCATACGTTCTAGACCTTATTTCAATCGCATGTATAGAAAGAATAATGCAGAAGTTTTCGATATTCTCCCCCATAGTTGATCACCACGGACCTGATCTTGCTTACCATCTGAATTTGGAATTATTGGGGCGTGGGAAATTAGGAAAACCGGAAATTTGTAAACCCGG